ATAATTATCAAAGCTGCAGCAGCAGCAGCTACAGTGTATATCAATCATGTTGAAAAAGAGCACAACTGTTCACCTGTTAATCTTTCTCCTTGACACGCGGATCGTACCCAGATGGTAAACGTTACTTTTTGTAGCATTGCGATGCAGTGAGGTCTTTGGTTGTTTTGGGCGATTACCTTCTATGTGATCATCAAGGAACACTGCAGAGAGGGCTCAGGACTGCCTTACTCATTTTTGGTACAGAGGACACCTGGGTTGTACGTATTACGTGAACACATTTTCGCACCGTAAGTATCCTTAAGTGCTAAGCGATATAGCCCACTGAGCTATATAGCTCTATTTCAGAAGCGACCTGGGCACAAATGATATCTCAAAAAGTGTCGTATCACGTGGAAACGTATAGCAGCCAAATACTCTAAACACGTGTTTCTATAAAAGTGGAGGGAACAACGGGAGGACCCAGAGCAAAATCCACGCGACCACGGTAAGAACACGAAAACTCCAAATATACAGCAGGCGCCAGAGTCGGGATCAAACCCACGACCTGCTGTATACCAGGCGAGGTAGTTAACATCTCCTAGCCACCGTGGCGTCTTGGCAGGGGGCCGTGGCGATATTCATCGTGCGTGGCGTTCCGCCCCTCCAGAATCTGCCGCCATGCTCGATGCCTTCCAGCGCCTCTGAATTAATCATCGGTTTATCACCGGGCAAGCTGCCGTGTACGTGATAGTCAGCTATCCAGAGGGCACCGGTTGTAATCCATCTCCCCTCCACGTCTGCGTGGACTGCTACGCCCTAGCCAGGGACAACTGACTGATGATGATGGTGATGATGATGATCACCTCCGTCCACGCAGCGTGGGTACCCCAACTTTTCCAAAACGTTTAGCTCAGCGTGGAAGAGTTGCCCAATACCCTCTATCGGGGCTCCCTAGAGCTATCTTGAGACGAGTCCCTTCCACCAGAAGTGATTTGTAATTTAAGGGCTGAACATTTGCTTTTACCTAATTACTGTCACTTCACGCTGATTTAGGGTACAATTTCCCCACCAAGCGCACCACTAACACATTCATCCACACTTTACCAAGTTGGCACATTGGCTGCCAGGCAGGGAACGCTGCCCGTCAGCCGTTGGCGTCGACAGGTCGCTGCGTGTGGGGTGCTAGGAGCAGAAACACCTCGAAATAATTTAAAGGGAAGCAGACGGGTCCGTGCTAGAAGGGGCTCAGTGGCTTGTCGCGCTGACACTTGCACACTCTATAAAGCCAGCTTTCGCATTTTTATCTTCGCACACCGCCTGCGTTTTATACATTCTCTACACACCGGTAAAGGTCAGGCAGTGTGCATTGGTGCTCATGCCAATGCAGAGGGCGATGATGGCCATCTCTGCCTCCGTGGCGCAGTGGTTAGCACACTGGACTTGCGGTTAGATCTTGTACACATATAAATGTGTCGTTAACCCACCACCACCCGACACAGCCAATTAGAAAGGTTTGGCACGTAAACGAAACAATTAGTTCTTGCTAATTGTCACGATCGCTGGCTCGACCTCGCAGCACGGAAGCTGCCCTAGTCGTGTGTGGTGGAGTAAAGTGTGGGTACTCCCTCCTCATGCCAGACGTCTCGTCGTCATAGAAGAGTAGGCCAAAACACCCTCCGAGAGCCTCTCCAGAGCACCCTCTAGCGGAGGCCCTTCCGCCAGCCATGGAGTGAGCAAGCATTTGCAGGGCTGCACCTGCACCTTTCCACCACTCGAGTTTTATCCATGGTTTATGTCCCTAGAAAGGGTGGGCCATGTGCGAAATACTCGCACCCCCCGATTAGCACGGTTGGCTACGTACGGTGCGAAAGAAGTTCAACGGACACACATACATACTCACGCCGACGCCAAAGGCGGCACAAGACCTTTGCGCTACACTGGCCAATCGCAAATCGGACAACGGTCGGAGTGTCCACTCTTCACCCCACCGCACATCGAATCCCATTCGCCGTGCTGCAGTGATAACCAATTGAAAATAAGCAAACTCATTTTTCGCAAAAGGAAAAACCCCGCGTGGCTGCGCGTGCATTTAGACCTCCCCCAACTCACTTCTACCCCCATTATCTCATCAGTCACCCACAGAGCACCGCTTATGGCCGCATCTTTACTCAAATTCGTCGCTCAATTTCTTTCCTTGATAAGTCCACATTGTGGACTGAACAATGCGAACCAGGCAAGACATTTGCACCTCGTGTGCAATTTGAATCTTTTTTGTGTGTGTCGCGGTAGAGACGGGAAAAATGAATTTGTCGACGGAGACAGAAACCTCAGGTTTACAATCGGCACTCATTAGAAGCGAAATGTAACTGGGGAAATGGACCAGGGGTGAGGCTGTTTCACCGCAGGCGGGGGGGGCTGCAGGAGAGCTTCTTGTTACCGATGGCATCAGTGCTGCTCGTCGTCTCGAATAACCGCGTGTTGTGGTGTGGGCCTCGAAAAGAAGAAGAAAAAGAATGAAGACCGCGAGAGAGAGAAAAACAACGCCAAAACTTTTGACGACACTTTGTGCCGGCGGATTCAACCAGCAGCTGACATGCCAATCTGTGCTTCTAACCTCGCCGCCGCGAATATCCCTTGGGGAATAAGGAAGCCAGCATTTTGCAGAAACTTAATGTAAGCCGTTCAACTTGGATGTGACAGAGATGTCCTTTGGCCCCTACATTATTTGACATCTTTTCTGACCGTGCAGTTTCGAGCTTTCCATGGCTGTACCAAATAGACGTTCCATCGTGACTTTTTTTTACGATCTGGATGTCTCACTCGCACAGCCACCTTACATTGACACGCTAATCTCTCACAATACAATGGCCACCTCCACAGCCGCGTCGTCCTCGTGGGGGTACATCACCGATCTTACATTGACATGCAAATTCCACCTCTAGCCCCGCCCACTTACCCTTGGGCTGAGCCCATCTCAAGCCGATGTAACTTCGTGTTTCAGCAGTTCTCCCGCTGTATTTTCTCCTGCCTCGGCAGCTCTCTCGCGATATTTTTTCACCTGATGACGAATTTCACGACGAAACGTCTTGAATTTTTTAAAATAATAATTTTACTATCTACGTGGCTTTACCGAAAGACCCAAAGAATATGACGTTCCATCTGTTCGGCAACATGGGAGGATGAGTGATCTCCAGGATGTGTTCAAGGGACGTCTCCCTATTGGTCACCATGTCGTGTATGCTCATGATATGGTGATTAGGTGCCACGGTGGCGAGATATTAACTCCCTCGCCTGGTACGCAGGAGGTCGTGGCTTCGATCCCGACCTTGACGGCTGCTGCTGTAGATTTGGATTTTGCATCTTCTCCTCGTGATCACATTGATTTTTCTCTGGGCAATCCACTGTTTTCCTCCTCGACATGATGAGTCACTTTGCTGCGCTCTCATTTCTAGCCAGAGAGCTTAGTGGGCCTTACCCGATGAAATAAAAAGTAATTTTCTTTTGTTAATTTTACAAACTTGTTCTTTCATGAGGTTACCATTGCCAACGCTGTTGTCGTAACCACACCTCGCCTCGCCATAAAACGACAGCTCCAGCAATTCATTTTCAGCCAGATGAAACACTCAACATGTGGCGTGCATGATGTATGTCGGGTACTATTTTAACTTATGAGAAAGAGCTATATAGCTCAGTGGGCCTTACCTGGTGAAGTCATTTTTTTTGCTAAAGTAGCTAGCTAATTGCTGCTCACTGAGGAGTTGGAGACTCGACTGCTGAAAGTGGAGAGTCCTACTAGAAGGTGGGGCCTTATAATCAGCCACACAAAAAGAAAGCACCTACCTGGATATGTTATTTTATGCCAAATACGCCACACCTACAACTCCCCATGAGGGATGGGGCAGTTGTCGGGGGTGTACTATTGACCAGCTCCAGTTGGGCAACTGAAGTCTCACTCCAAATCAGTCGAGCGGCTTGTCATCAGCTGTGTAAAGCTGTGTGTAGAACCTACCTGTCCTATTGCTCTGGGTCTTCTTGGCCATCATTATGCCCTATCTCCCTTCTCTAGGCCCGTTCCATGGAACAGCTGCCCCTGTTTGAGACATGTTGGCTGGCTTGCCTACGATCATTCCTAGGTTTAGACAGAGTGGATTGTGTGCGTAATCCATCGACCTTTGAAAGATCTGGACAGAGTCCCATAAATGAGCTCCTCTGGCAGGCGAGGTTGCGTTGGCTGGGTTATGTAGCCCTCACGCCCAGCCACAGCGTTCCCAAGCAGCGTCCGTTTGGCCGGATAGAAAAGCAAAACAGGCACTGAATGGGATAGAGAAGAAATGGGCTGATGTGTTACGAGAGGATGTGGAGCTGTTGGACTTTGTGATGACTGGTACCAGCGGTGTCAACATCGGACTCTGTGGAGGAGGCTCAATAAGGATGCGACTGGGCAGTCAGAGGCAGTCCTCCAACAACAACAGAGGGAGAGCGACGCTCACAACAAGCAGAGCACCGGGTAAGTTTAAGTTGGCACAGTTGGAGCACAGGTCGTATACGTCTTTCAGTCATCAGCGGTCTTCATTGCAAGGCCCGCAGGCCACTGGCGGTCCCTGGTGGCCTTTAGTGCGGCCTCTGACGTGGAGCGCCCGTCAATATATAAATCTGAAAACACCCCCACCCATCATCATCATCATCGTGCTGCTGTCAACCCCGAATGGTTTCAAATGTGTGGTGACCCTCACGCTGATGATGTCTTATCGGCGAAGTGCGCCCCGCCCCCCCCCCCTGAAGATTAGTGAAGACCACTGCCAAGACCGCTTCTGTTCCCATGACCTCCTGCCACCGGCAAGAGCCTTCCACGCTTCACGTGGCCTCAAAGCACACCTAGCCTGGCACGCGCGCTGCTGGGCCGTCACCGACACATCGCCGCGAATGGCGACTTGTTCTTGTTACAATGCAATTGCACCCCCCCCCCCCATCCCGTGAGGTGTGCATGGCTCACATCCACATTTACAAGTGCCACTTTTTATTTGGAGCTCACTCGGAAAGAAACAACACACACACACACACGCGCGTGCACACACTGCACGCATTACGCAGGGTTCGGCAATGGATCCTGTTTGGCACGGCAATTTGAACGTGCACAAACTAAACACAGCCACTAGCAAATTAAGTGCAGCGCAAATGGTGATCCCTACACCGGGAAACAAACGCGAGAGAAATTTAATAACTTATCTGCGTTACAATGATGATGAAACAGGTCGCGGTGTAGTGCACTCTGCTACGCATCCAGCAAGCTGAGCTCAGATTCCCAGCCACGGCTAACATCAGTGGCGAGCAATATTGAATCTTCGCCTGCCCGCACTGTTCAGCGTGATGAAGTATGATAAAAAAAAGCATTGCTGGATTGCTCGATGTTATTTGCAAAAGCACGCCATGTGTAAGATGGCCCAAGTCCACACAAAACATGGTAATGTGAATGTAATAATCATGTATGAACGCACATACATGTGTGCGGGCGAATGTGTCGACGGGTATTCGTGTGTGTGGGTGCACGGGTTTTCGTGTGTGTGGGTGCACGGGTTTCCGTATGTGTGGGTGCAGGGGTTTTCGTGTGTATGGGTGCAGGGGTTTTCGTGTGTATGGGTACAGGGGTTTCCGTGTGTATGGGTGCAGGGGTTTCCGTGTGTATGGGTGCAGGGGTTTCCGTGTGTATGGGTGCATGGGTTTCCGTGTGTATGGGTGCATGGGTTTCCGTGTGTATGGGTGCAGGGGTATTCGTGTGTATGGGTGCATGAGTGTCACGTGCACAGGTGTACGTGCGGAGCGGTGACAAATACGACCGGAAGCAGGTGGATGGCTTCACTGCTCTGGCAAGTCGCCCAATGATGCTGGATGATGCAATTACGAGCGAAACGTTGTACTCGTCAAATTGTAAATGTTGTGGATTGACTCTCCAACACACCGGTGGGCTGAAGTAGTAACTAATTACGTGACACATCCCTTACTGATTCGCTGTGTCGGGTGGTGGAGGGTCACGACACGTGTAAACTTACGCGATCTATCCCAAAAGCCTTTATTATGAGCAGAGAGTGACTAGCAAGGGGTTTCGAGTAGATGGGCCGGAGACCACGACACTGCTGGAGGCCATCTCGGTGCGTGTGGGATGCACCAATTCGTCGGGGGCATTAAGGTTCGCGTGGACACCGGCACTACGCACAAATCATAGCACTGCGGACGACAGCGCAGCAGATGTCGTAACAAACAAGGCGACCGGGCGCTGACCTGTCAATCTCCAGGTGTGGCGATCAGACAGTCGTGAACAATCCGCATCACTTTGAAAAAAGTTCGTGCAGGCTGCAATCACAGTAAGGGTAATAATGCCCGGATGGTAATGGATAATCTCGAGCTACAAGGCAGTTGCGGGAGGGCAACGATGGCGATACTGCTCTGATGATTCCGAACAAGGATTAAACTGGTGCACAGCTGGTTTAAACGGGAATCGCTCTGCTTCCGAGCTGCAGGTCCACAATCAGGCTGTGTGCAGTGCGGTGGTGTAAGGTGACATGGGAGGACCCCGCCAATGGCTCGCAAGGGTCACGGATCTCGCCTTGAGCTTGGGAGTTCTCAATGTGTTACGTTATGTTCTCCTTTGAACAGTTTTGATCCTCTTCAATGCTCACGGTGGCGCTGCTGCTGCTGCTGCAGCCTCCGCCTCGCGCGGGCACCGACTCCATCCGCACGGCTCCGCCGTGGCCTGCGACACAACCACGGACACCGCACACGCAGCGGCTCGGCGTTCCCACCCGAGCGTTTGCGGGTTGCACCCAGTGCCGGATTAAGCTAGTGCGGGGCCTGTAGCATATGATCTTACAAAGAGGCCCTAAATAAAAAAAAACGTAAATAAAAAAAATAAAAAAAAATTACTTGCATAGTAAAGTAATTGTATTTTTCATTTGCTATACGGCCAGATAATAGGACAACTCGCTCACCTTAAACACCAAGTCGTTCGTAAAAATTGAAGGCGGTCTAGTACTATAGTAATAGAGCAAGTGCAGAATCACTGAACCGGAATTAATAGCTTGAAAGCATTTAGCGCGGGGCCCTTGAAAGTGCGGGGCCCGTAGCTACTACACGTGTAGTAGCTACTACACATGTAGTACATATGTAGTAGCTACTACACGTGTAGTAGCTACTACACATGTAGTACATATGTAGTAGCTACTACATATGTAGTAGCTACTACACGTGTAGCGCGGGGCCCTTGAAAGTGCGGGGCCCGGATGGAGTCGGTGCCCGCGCGAGGCGGAGGCTGCAGCAGCAGCAGCTACTACATATGTAGTAGCTACTACACTTGTAGTAGCTACTACACATGTAGTACATGTAGTAGCTACTACACGTGTAGTAGCTACTACACGTTTAGTAGCTACTACATATATAGCTACTTTTGCTACGACGAAAATCTGGAGCTGGTCGCACCGCCCGTTGCTCTGCAGGTCGATAATAAAATGAATTGCCGCCAGTAAACTATTCACGGCGGCTTGCCAGTGCGCTTTCAAATCTTAGATTGAAAGGTCATTTCTTTTGGACTGCTTGTAGTGTTTAGTTTGTTGTCCTTCCCCCGCACCTCCGATTATCGCGGTTGTCCACGTACGGTGCGAAAGAAGTTCAACACGCATACGAACGCTGATGGGTGAAGGCATCTCCGCAACGTGTCGGTCGTCGGGATTGTTTGACCATCATCCATCGACCAGTGTGGTCAGGGTCGCGAAGGGGAAGTGGAGTGGGGGGGGGGCAGATCGGTTCAGATATCGCTCGCCACTGATGTTGGCCGTGCCCCTCGGGATCGAATTGATAAGGCAACCCGCTAACTGCCGTGCCACCGCTCACCCCGAATTATAATTAGGAAGGAAACATAGAGCGCGATCTATGTAATGACCCTATTTACGTTCTTAACAAAATCAATAAGCAGACAATGTCTGCTTACATCTCCTGCACATATGCGTCTTGACCCCCGTGAAACAAAGAAAAGTATTTCTTCCACAACTCCGTACTTTCTTCTCAATGAATTGAATCAGATGCCGTGAAAGCGACAGGCTCCTCATGTCAGAGGAGAGTGTTGTTAACAAGATTTAATCTGCGCTACGAGGAACGGAACCTGTCGGGCAGAGCCTCGACCGGGGATTGTTACACGTCGCGGAACCGTGACAGGTGGCGATGCCGACCAGGTGAGGCCTTCACCCAGCAGTGGATTAATCAGCGGCCGATGACGACGACGACGATGGTGATGATTGAGATTGGTGGGAGACATGCCGAGGCTTCAAAATGAAAGGTGCAAGTCGTGTCTGTATTTTAGACGGGGCATCGATGTGTCACCCGGCATCATGCTGCGAGTGGCTCTCATCGGGGTCAATGAAGGGAAGTCGGCAGCAGTGCCGGGTCACTGCTGAGCACCTCTGAGAGAAGCGGTGGCGTCCTCCTCCTCTTCCTCCTCTTTCTCGTCAGCACCGTCAGTTGCCGCTTGGGAGGTTTTCTTGAAGTCGCCGGCCCTGAAGAGGCTGTAGGACGCAAGAGTCAGGCACGCCATGACACAATACCGAGCATCTCAATAAGCATGTTGTACTCCTGAATTAGAATACTCAACAACAATGCTCACCGAGTTAAAACATTCCTCTTCAGGAACATTATTAATTGATTTCCTGCTCAAATGACCATCCAGGTGACACTTGCCTCCTGTTTACAGCCCTGAGTCAGTGGTGGCAATGCCACGTACCTATGGTGGAGGCGAGTCTATCCATAGGAAACCCACTGTTCACTTCTCCACAAAGTGGTACTCGTTTTATCATAGCCGGAGAGATGATCGGCCGAGACAAACCCCGTCCAGGATTTTAATTCGCCACCTTTCCGATTGTGAGCTGCTCGTTCTACCGCTGAGACACCTGGTTCACAAAATCGATAACATACCCAAAATTAGCAACATTGATGCATTGTTTTTAATTGTTAAAATGCATTCAGAGCAAGCAGGGTGTGGTGATATGCACTGGCATACCACCTGGGACATTTCGGCAGGCGGAGGCAAAGTGAAAACCCTATCAATCTGGCCCCGAATCGGGGACATCCCGATCTTGGTGACGAGTTCGTGCACAAGTGGCCATCGCCAGTGCTAGAGCGCCCTCTGGCGGTGACTCCTCCTGCACTGCTTGGTCCATTAAAGCCTCCGCTTCCTCAATCCAGGAGGGCAACACTGGGGCATTAAGTGAACGGTTTCAATCTAGATTTGAACGGTTTCATTTCCTGGCACGCAAGGCTTTACGTAAATTTCAGACAGCTCTGACTACGACGCCACACGTGCAAAACGACAAGTTTGGGAGGGTATCTTCACCCACGCTGTGACTCACTTCCCAGCAAAACGCCGTGCCGAGAAAAATTCCAATACCTTTCGGAAATCTTCAAAAATCGTATTTTTTAAACCTGGATTTAAATTCTTAACTCGCAATTAATAACGTGATGCATGGCTGGTCAATACTACACGCGGCGCAATATAAGTGACTTTTCGTATTTCATCCGACTCTCTCTTGGGTCGGAGGCCTGTCACACCACACCCAGGAGCACCTCTGACTCTGCACGTGGCCCCCAAGTGCCGCGCCTAACCCAGTCTCGCCCAGCGACCCGCAACGCATTCGGCGAGAGATTAATATCTGAGCCAAAAAGAAACACGCAGCACATCACACGCATCGCATCACGGAAATTAAGCCCCTGATTGCACGTAACTAAGAAATCCCCCACATACCGGAGGGAATAAAGGAACAATCGCATACGAGTGCGCAGATAAGGAAGGGAATGATGTGTGCTTGTGATTTCTTGTGAACAAAATGAGTGGGCTTGGGCAGGACACGTGGCCAGAAGGGATGACGGCCGGTGGTCTCAGATTAAACGATGAAGTTCCAACAAAGGAGGGGAAAAATTCCACTCGGGAGATGGAACGATCCAATCAGCTTGTGTGCAGGACCTACATGGATTATTGCATTGCTTGGGGAGGCCTCTATCCAGCAGTGGATAGATCATGGCTGCGGATTATGACAGAACGTGCTTGAGTATGCAGAAGACGACTAGCTCAGATGGGTATCTAGACCTCTCAAGAAGGGGTCCAGTCCTGAAATTACAAGGTTTTGAAATAGGCTCCTTAATTAACAAGTAAATAAACATACACAAAACATTGAACGTAATTCCTCTGGGCAAATAACAATGTAGCGACTTTCAGGGTCCCAAGGGGGGTGTCGATCGCCCCCATGTTAGATCTGCCACATCAGCACGTGGCGAGCGCCGTCCAACGCAGTGCACGGCCGCCGGTCCCCGTCACGGCGCTCGCTCGGCCACTGACCCCACGGCACAGGGCAGCGCGATCGAGGGCAAGGCGAGCGAGGGCTGCCGCTCGCACTCCTCCACGGAGTCGGGGAAAGGCACGCGCCTCGTCTCGGGCAGCAGCAGCGCCAGCGCCGCCCCCGCCAGCGGCAGGCAGCCGTGCACCGAGAGGGCCGAGACCCCCAGCACGAGCGCCGCCCGGTTCACCAGCGGCGCCAGAAGGCTGCCCACGCTGCCGCACATGGCCACCACTCCCAGCGCGTTCTGCCTGTGCCGGTGACAACGCGCCAGCGCGGCCGGGTCTCGTTAGCACGCACGGTTGGCTACGCACGGTGCGACAGAAGGTCAACATAGAATGCGTACGTTGAAAAATAAAATGTTTGTTGGGTTAGATCAGGTAAATGTAAATGTGTCATTAATTCATCAAGGCTTGGCACGTGAATAAAACCTGCCAATTAGTTACTTGTCCAGCACACCGGTGTGTCGGAGACTAAGCCCACAGCATTTACAATTTGAGTACGACGTTTCGCTGATGATTACAACCAGCTTCATCAGGCGATTTTCCACAAGGCTTCCTGTCTTGATGTTAAATAGAGTACTTGTTATTATGTAGTCACAGACATTACAATGTATTACGTTAATATGGGGATATTTAGTACCATTGACTAACAACCATGCAAACAGCTACTCAGAGTGGAACGCCACCAAACGAACCGTAACTGGTCGCGAGACAGGGAGAATGTTCACGGTGCAGCGCTGCTATTGTCTTGCTCACGCCATTTCTGGCGGATTGGCCTCCCAGTAGAGAGCCCCTCCCGAGGGCATGTTCACCTACACGTCTCCACTCGCCAGGCGTCTTGTAAGACGTGGGAGTGTCGAACATTGCGTGGCACCACCCGCTACCTGCCGACCGACTCACTGCGCTGTGTCCGTCTACACTGATGGGTGGACAAACGCAGAGGAATTTAAGAAACTTTTTTTCCAGCTGCCGGGCGAGAAGATTGAACCCGGTGACCTTTGCTTTGCAGCTCAGTGTGCTGATAATCATTACAACCACGTATCCACGTCTTCTTATCCCATCGCAAATGCCAATAGACAATTAATCAAGTACTAATTATAGTAAACTGATAAGCAGGATGCTTGAAAACCAACATGGAATCCCTCCTTTTATCTGCATCACGTGCTCATCACAGAAAGTCTCGAGATTTGACTAATCATTGTCACTCGGGAAACCCAAATTGCCACTAAATTCCCTGACAATGATGCCGAGCAGCACCGTCACTGACATGCGTGGGCTCTACCGATGTCCTGACGTACACATAAAGAAAATAGAAGTACAGAACACTAAAATGTATTTGCCAAATGTCCAACGGTAGAACCTTTTTCAAACAAGAGGACTGACACTCAATGAGGATTTTCCATGGAAAGAATATATATTCTTGGTTCTTTCGGTAAAGTCACATAGAAGGGAAATAATAAAATAATATAAAAATTAAACAATAAAAATTCTCACGACGTTTCGACTGCAACACAAGCAATCATCATCAGGCGTGAAACCAAGAATATGAATCCCTGCAGTCACGAAAGCTTTAAATAAAAAAATATATATTTACATAAGTAGAAGGACACTGTTAAGATGTACAGTTATTTGGCAAGTAATGTGACAATAAATATCTGCATAAATATAGTTCACTTATCCCCTGAGGCCACACTTCAAAAATTAGTCATGCAACTCGTATAATGAGTGTGAATACACATTTGTGAATTGGGCATTCTTTTGTGCATGCTCGTGTACAATTGTGTCCGTGGGTGTTGTAAGTGCCATCACGATGGAATTGTGCGTGTCCTTGAATAAAACAAAACGCAATTGATTCCGTCGCAAAAGACGCTTTACATCAAATGAAATCATTACACGAGGATGGTGGAGGGGGTCAGGACAGGGGTGGAGAGAGAGAGAGGGAGGGAGAGAAATGCCGTGCACAGCCTGGGACAAAGCAACCGAGGCCTGGAACCAACAACAACCACATCGTGCCACAGGGATTGCCAGGGCAGTCAAGGCAGCAACAGTGAGCCCGAGAGGCAGGCACGGATGAATATCAATTTGAAGTTTGGATGATGTAAACTGCTCTGGAGGCTTGTTTGCAGTTGTACCGTATGGCTTTATGGTGCGTTTTGCGATTTCATGAAATAGCTCCCACAATGCGGGAGGCGAAACGTCGGCAATGTTGGCAAACGGCACGCGCGGCACAAGCAGAACATAGACGGGAAAGCTCCCCGCTGTTGTCTGCAGGCTAATTTTACTGTACAGGGTGGTCCAGATGTCCTGTCACCCGCCAATGAATTGACCCCTAACAATTGTTTTCAATAAACCTCCCGTTAGAAATATTAAGTTTTATAGAATTTAATTGGGCGGGTCACACGACATCTGGGCCATCCTTTACATGCTTTGACTGCCAACACATAGTCACTCCGGGCAAATTATTTTAAAGAACTGTTCCTTTTCGATTTAAAGCTTTCGTGACTGCAGGGATTCATCTTCTTGGTTCTTTCGGTAAAGTCACGTAGAAGGGAAGTAATAAAATAATAAAAATAAAACATAATAAAATAATTCTCACGACGTTTCGGCCACAACGCAAGTAGCCGTCCTCAGGTGAAAACCAGGTCTGTCGAGGCGACAGCTTCTGAATGAAACAGCACACGTGCTTCCTTGCGAACCAGCACCTCTGAATAGAAATAACTTAGTTTAACACGCGACCAATATTATCCATAATAAAGGATTTTTTTGGGGCAACGTCGCGTAAATATTAATGCGACGTTCGCCCACCACCACCACCCGACACAGCCAGTAAGAAGTAAAATTTGCCACGTAAACAAAACGTGGCAATCAGTTTCCACTTCAGCACACCGGGTGTGTTGGAGAGTACGAACCCGCGGCGTATGCAATTCTAGCGACGACGTTTCTCCGGCGATGAGCTTGCGACAGACGTGCGGCGTCGCAGATCCCGCGGGGAAGGCGCGCGCTCACCTGACGTTGGTGGGGAAGAGCTCGATCCTGTAGAGGGTGGCGACGCACGCCGTGACCTGGGCGCACAGCTTTCCCAGCAGCGCCAGTGCCACCACGACGTTCGCCAACTCTGGGGGGGGGCACAGCCGATCGATCAACCGGTCCGCTGCTCAACTCGAGCGAGCAGTGGACCGTGGACGCACCGCGAGGGCGAGCAGGTGAAACACCGAACGAGCCAAGCTTTTTCGGCTACCGGTACGATTGAAAGTAGATTTTTTTTCTTGGGGGATCAGATCGCGCAAGTAAAATGTGCGTCGTGCACCCCCTCCTCCAACCGACACAGCCATTTGATCAAGTTTTCACGTGAAAAACACGTGAAAAACACGTGCTAAATTACTGATTCAGCACAACCGAATTCTGGCAACTGCCTTATTACGCTGGCTGTAACTCGCAGCGAAACGTCGTACCCAATCGTTACGGGTTGTGAATTTCTCTCCAACACACCGGTGGTGCGGAAGCAGTAATACATTGGCGTGTGTGTGTTCACGTGACAACATTATGAGTTGTCTGAGTCGGGTTGAGGAGGGTGTACGACATACGTTTTACTTTCGCGATCTGACCCAAAAAACAGAACATTTTCTGGTGAAAAATGACCTGAAAATTGCTGAAATGGGATTACGCAGAGCAACAACGTCCCCTCAACTGCACACTAAAAACAAACACTTGTTGGGACCCTCCTGAACGAGAGACTCAGTGAGGCTTTCCTGAGCAAACGCGCAGAGATAAAGTAAATAAGCATGGAGGATCAGCATCAGCAGCAGCAGCATCAGCAGCAGCAGCAGCAGCGACAGCTCACCTGGGTTGGGCTGCAGCGGCAGGCACAGCAAGCAGGTGGCGCCGGCCACGGAGAGGCAGACGATGCAGAGGGAACGGCGGCCGACGCGACGCATGAGCGGCGGTAGCAGCAGCTGCGGGACCTCGGCCAGGCCCGACAGGAACTGGGCCATGTGGATGTCGAGGCCAAAGTCGCCGACGCTCAGGCACAGGCCGTAGTACGTCATCGACACGGCGGCGCTGATCGTGGTCGCGGCGGGATGCGTGACGGGACCGCCACACACGACACGAATGACGCAAAACGCGCAGCGCAGAGGAGCACATCACAGCCTATTTGGGGACAGAGCAGCAAAGTGCATTGTTGTACTGCAATTCTATGATCTCAGCCCCTATGCTGCCCAATCAGCTGTGGTGTTGGCTCATTAGGGGGGCATGAGCTTAAATTATTATTGGGCCCCTGGCCACCTCTAAATGTATCCTCGCGAGACGAATTAAGAGATGTAGACAAGAGATAGCCTGTAGATGTAGTGAGACGAGAGAGAAATGTGGGTGAACCTCGAGATGAGAAATAAGAGAGCTGCAGGCAAGACAGAGGTTAGAGTGAGGTATTGGCTTTTATTTATCTTGACTATTTTATGGAGCCCTATTTCTTTTCATGAATCCACAGCCCCTTGAGTTGTTTGGGGTCTTAATATATTTGTCTGGTTTGCTTGAGCCTAGTGCCACTACGGCGCACACACAAAAAAATAACAGTTCCAAATCCACCACTTGTATATTGAAGAAGGGCCATAGCTTGAAACGTTCCCTATTATATCATTATATGAATTATAAAAGTTGAATTATAATTCAGCGTCTAGGGTAGTGATATTGATGAACGTGTTGAGTTTCACTGCCAACGCATCACCGCATGGTTTATATATTAAGTTATTGACTTCATGCCATGCCTATTGTTGTGCCATCTGAGTTCCATTCCTGACCATGTCAAACATCAGTGGCAAGTGGTAAATGAAGTTAACTTGGGCCCTCCCTTCATCAACCCAACCCACCATGATCAACGTGACGAAGTATGGCCAAACAACCCCCTGCAACCAACAACGGCGCGGGGAGGCCCTTCGTCTAGCAGTGGATCGATACGCGTCTGTAACCGATGAAGTAATATTTACCAAATGTACGACATTATCAGCAGCCTCTTGCGCAACGTGTGATTTCGGAACGTTGTGAGCAGCGTGGATTCGTTAGCCGCTCTCCTGTCCGTGAACGTCTCTTCAACATCGACGAGTTCCAGGGCGTGTAGCACCTTCTCCTGCATCACCCAGAGACACGCGGGCACCAGTCAGTCAACGCAGTGTCACCGTTTTGTTTAACGTTGAGAGTTTTGATGTCAATCGCAGAAGCGTCCCACTAACCTCAGTCCTCCGGTTGATTATTGACGCCTGCCGCAGCAGATTTCTGGCCTCCGTTGTGCGTTTTTTAAAAAAGAGCCATCGAGGAGACTCTGGCAGTGACCTTGAACAGAGGACAATGTGTGAATACATGCGATCATCTCTTTCCCATTGACAGTATTCCAGTACTGAGCAGCACGTAGTTACCATTGGAAAATTGATGAACCATTAAAAGGGAGTACCTCTGTAAATTATTACAAGAACCCCAGCACACGCAACAACAAAAACGATCACACATTTCTACTGAATTAATCTCATTTCTTGAAATGAGATACGTATCAGTAACTGTACACAAATCCACAAGAACATCCTTCCACGACTTGCGTTCCGTATTTGACCAGAATAATAAAGCATAATTGGGTAACATTTTCAGAAGTGAGAAATTCCACTGAAGACGGAAAGTTAACCTTGGGTGGAGGGTACTAAGAACACTCGAGATGGACAATCACCCACCAGAAGAGAAGCAGAACCATGAGTTGGGGCACCCCAGTGGCAAGGTGGAGTTGTGGCCAATTCTGGCTGATCTTAGCCACTCCAGCCAGGGCCATCATGCCCACGCTGAAGGCCAACGCCAGGATGATCGGTGGCCAGGCCCGGAGCGCGGGGCCACACCACTCCACGCCTGCACGAAGCGTGGCCAGCACAACGCACACCACTCAATGGGGAACCGCGCACACCATTCACAGTTCCTATGATCATTGTTACATTGTTTTTGTTTTTGTGGCTTTATTTCGGTGAATTTGAGGACGGGTTGGTTTGCCCATGTTTGTTTGTTGTAGTACAGAGTTGGCCTGCTAACTTTAATCTACATTGTCTTATGGTTGTTATTGTTTGACTTGCATCCCACTGGGATTTTTGCACACAGCGTTGAAATGCGGTGTTTTTTCTGGAAGACTTTGCTGTTTTTCCCAGGATTTTTCTGTTGCGTGTAGTCACTTTAAGATGTTTCTTGTTCATGTTTTAGTTTTGTTGCGGTTGCACCCGAGTTAAGAGCCGCATGGCTCACAGGGTTATACCGAATAAATGAAACTGAAAAGTGAAACTGAAAAACAGTACACACTGCATACACCACACTGTATACGCTGCATACACTGCACAAACCGTACACTGCACTCACCCACAGCATTCACTGAACAGACTTCACAAGTTGAGGATTACTGTATATTTTCCATTGCCTAGTTTTGCATCTTACAGATATTTTCTCTATTCAAGATATCACCCATGTGCCCTTTGAATGTTCTTTCTCAACCGTAACACTCCACACGGCTGAGCCAATGCTTCCCCCAGGTCTCCCACTCGTCACGATCTCTGGCCACCTCCATCCAATTCACTCCTCCAAATCTTGTAATCTCATCCCGACAACGTATTTCTATCTCTCTTACTGCTTCCCTCCAACGACTTTGAGTCTATCTGAGCAAGATGTCCTGCCTAATTAACATTTCGGTTTTTTTACTTTATAAATTGCATCTGTCATTAATTTTAATTCTGAAATCTTTCCTTTATAATGTTGTCTCATCTATCATGACAGTGGTACATCCAGGGGGGGGCATTCACCTTGCCCCACCCCCGGCCCTTTGAGACCCTTGAAAATTGGTATTTTATTGATACTTACCAGAGAAAATACGTGGAAAGTGGTTTATTATTATGACGTAAAAAACATATAATTTCCATTGCTTTAGCAAACTTGTACAACTTATTTGCTTGTTATTCAGTTAGGGACCAGGCTTCCCCACAATATTAGTGCCCTGTGCATGTACATTAGTAAACGTGAAAAGCTGGGCTGGGGGAAACCAGCAAAGCCTGAGGTGTGCAGAACAGCTTGTGAGACTGCATTGCCAATGGTGCATACGCGCAGATTAAACGAAACTGAACACATCCGTCAATAACAATGGCCTAACGGGGAAAACAAATATTTAATCTGCGACTTTACAGACAGTGGCCCTTTTTTCAGAGTAGAAAGAACATTCATCCATTGCCCGAATTGTCACCTGTGAAATCACGTATTGCCTATTTTTCAGTTCTGCTAAGCTCAACCGAATCGCTCAAGTCATGTCTGCGGACCTCTTCAATTGTCACGTGTAAGCTGTCGCTCTCGATGAAAAACGCAACCCACGGCGAAGGGAGCGGGGGGGGGGAAGGAATGTGTCTCACTCACCCAAACTGAACGAGCAGAGCATTATGCCACTGGCGGTGGTTCCAGTGAGGAGCCGCCCAAGGAGGTAGGTCGGAAAGTTTGGAAGGAATGCGACCACGAACTCGGCTGCTCCCTGAGACGCGACACAGCTGAGCAGCACTGGCCTGCGGCCGTACCTGCGCAAGGCTGAGGTTATTGAGTTTGCTTTAGACTCGCTGTGATTTTTTAGCACAGTCGGCGTCCCCGCTTGAAATGAATGCTGGCGCAGACACGCGGTGCGCTGTGCACAGGGATATTTACCTGTCAGATGCAATGCCCATGGCTATGGAACCGACGAGCAGCCCGACCATGAACATGGTTTGTGAATAAAACTTAAAGTCTTGCAGGCTGTACGCTTCGCTCTGCGAATCACGGAGTGTCGGTAAGACAGCACACACACAAACACACAACCCACATCGTCATAAATATCCGTGCGTCTCTCTCATCCGAAGCCCTCTATCGTTATCATCACAACTTTGTTGCCAGTGTCTGTATACTTGGGTCGCGTACTGTTCTTTAAAACATATTCACACAAATCACAACTTTTATTTCCCTTCTACGTGACTTTACCGAAAGAACCAAGAAGATAACTCCCATACGCGAAGTTGCAACGCGCTCTCTTCACACGACCCTTTACGCGTGGAGATTGAACGACGCGCGCGCCTGTTTACCGCTCCACCGCAGCAGCCAGCGGTCAATCCGTGCTCGACCCGGGACACGTTCACCGACAGGGCAGCCTCCACCGAGGCGGCGGCACGCGGCTCGCACGCGTTGCGCCGTCCCTCGCCGCCGCCGAACGACACGAGCTCTCGCCCGGCGGAGCGGTTGCCGCCCGAGGCTTCGTGTCCGTGCGGCGGCGGCGGCGACCGCACGCACGGGAAAAGCGCGCCGCTGAAGCAGTCCAAGAAGAACACGAACGCGGTGATGGTGACATTGGCGGAAAGTTTGAGCAGCATCCTCCTCTGGAACGTGCCGAGTTGTCCAATGAGGGTGAGAAATTCGTCGACATTGACAGACATGGAGGCAGCAGCAGCAGCGGCGGCGGCGGCGTGCAGTGCTCAGTTGCAGCATGAGCCGACTCGACTCGGTGCATCAAAAAATGCTGGCGAATGAAGGCGCGTGACAGCATGTTTCTGTGAACGGCACTTCCTAATTATATAATGCAGCTGCAGCAGCAAAGCTCAGCGGAGGTTGGCTACCTTGGTTGATGACAAAGTCCACTTCTGGAGGTTACTATTCTGTTCAACATATGCAGGGGAGGTCATGCAAATATTTATCAGTGGCTAATGAGTAACATACGTTGTTTTGTTGACGAAGTTTTATTTAATTCCAGCAATTACAGGTACATATCGCTTATATGCCAATAGTCAACAAGACAGGAGTGGCTGAGTTTGTACGTTGCTGTGGGGTGGTTTATCACATCGCAAGATCGAGGGAGATGGTGGTGGCTTAGGGAGGCCTTCACTCAGCAGTGGGTTAATGAAGGATGATGATCACTTGCACACAAGTGAAAAGTTATAATTCCAAAGAAGAGTTGTAGTTATTCTAATTTTGACTGCTCATGCATATGTAGTGACTGACTCAGATACACGAAGAGTAGGCGCCTGGTATACAGGAGATCGTGGTGTTCAATCCCAACCTTGACAGCTGCTGTGCATTTGGAGTTTGCATGTTCTCCCCGTGGTAATGTGGTTTTTAATCCGGGTCCTTTTGTCTTTTCCTCCACATTAAGAACTGTATTTTGGCTGCTATACATTTCCACACGATAAGCCACTTCGTTGAGCTATCATTTGTGGCCAGGTCACTTCTTAAACAAGAGCTACAGTCTTCTTGGTTCTTTCGGTAAAGTCACGTGACTTTGCCGAAAGAACCAAGAAGATGAATCCCTGCAGTCACGAAAGCTTTAAATCGAAATGTAAGAGCTACAGTATTTAGCTCAGTGGGCCTTACCTGGTAAAATAAAACATGTTTTAAAAAAATTGTTATTTTCTTTGAACCTATCTCCGTGACTATACCGAAAAACCCAAAGATTATTTAAAAAATGCAGTTTATAAGGAGCATATTTCACAGACCTAAACGACCCCAACTCTGAGGCGTGGAGCCAAGCTCCGTGTAGCTTTAATGTCAGGTGAAAGAGGTGGGGTCCTTTAAGTGTCTTTGACAATTGTGTAGGTTCAACACTGGATGGCGTTCCAAACGATGGAGGCTGGTCTTGGTCCTCGTGACTTACGTGGCAAAGAGTTTATTTTAAACCATGACAGGGGTGGAGAGATGCGTTGGACTACCAAAAATTAGAGGTGTGGTGGTGGCACACAGAACGTTCCAATTCGTATAGTACAGCACACCGGTGTGTAGGAGAGCCAAGCCACAACATTGTTCTGTGTACGTGATAACCCTCATTATTAAACTGGCTGTCGGGTGGTGACACATTTATATATTTACGCGATATAACCCAAAAAAACCTATATTATGGATGCGATTGGTCGCGAAAGCCTGCTACGTGTTAAACTAAGGGCGTTCCGTCTGTCCCTCAACTAAATGATGAGAGCCTTTTCGAAGGCCTGAATCAACAAGTTCGAGAAAGTGGACCCCCCCCCCCCCAGATGTTGGGGTAACAAGTTGATCCGACAAGATTGCAACAAATTGTCGACCCCCCCCCCCAAATTATTTTTATTTTGTAGGCATATATATAGATACACACCCTACATGCAAGTCAGTAGTATCTACATACATGCCTACACACCCTACATGCAAGTCAGTCGTATCTACTGAGTTAGTAGTATCTCCTGACTATTCTTACACATCTTACACATACTAGTCAGCAGTATCTACTATGTATATATTACACAACCTACACACACGTCAGTAGTATCTACTCTATATATTACACACCATACATAACTAGTGACAAGTATCTACTGACACACAAGTCAGTAGTATCTACTGACTATATTACACACCATACCTAACTCGTGACTAGTATCTACTGACACACAAGTCAGTAGTATCTGCACACATGGGGAGAGAGGACATCAGTGGGGGTGAGACGCGAAGCATCGAGAAGCCCTCCGCAGGAGCTACAATCAGGTTGCCACAGGCCGCCGACATTCTCGTTATTTAAATTCCAATTGTTTACCCAGGAGAGCATCACCGAGTCTAAATATACTTTTTTCAGGAGAGTCCTGTAAAGTTTTTGCAGCAGGGCGCAATGACGCTCTTTGTAATCCCAATTTAATAAATTGTCAAGCACTGGCGTGTTTGGCTATCACCAGTCACGTTTATCAATTGTTTACAGCTACGGGAAGAAACTTGATAACCCAAAATAAATCCATCCAGGACACGGGGAGAACAATCAAACTCGACAGGGAAAGGCACCCAAGTCGGGAATCGAATCCAGGCCCTCCCTGCTGAGGCACAAGGGCCATCAGTGCGCATGAAGGGGACGCGACCCTTGATTAAAGGAAACGGTCACAATTGCCGCAAATGTATTACCACAAACTTAACGCAAAGGCTCCTCCCTCCCCAACTATCAGACATATCTCCAAACTGCCCCCCTTTCACCCTTCCCTGTGATAGGGGGTAGCTCGGGAAGAGTTCGTGAGATGGGGGGGGGGGGGCATAGCATAGTGGGGACCCTTTGTGGTTGGTTTGCAATACAGTCGCTTGTGGTAAATTTGCAGTAGTTTGGGGCAAATCTGCGATACTTTTCATTAATTAGAGACCAAAGGTAGGAATCCACACAAGTCACATTCAAATGTAATATATTTGATGTATGTACAACATAACTTTAATGAAAATGATAAACAGTCGACAACGCTGAGATTGAAAAATATGGAAATGGCATTATGCTAATGCATGTTTAAACATGTGGCCCCGACCCTTCAATGAGAAAAAAAAACAGAAAACATTTGGAGAAAAAAAACCTTATCAAAAGTACAGAAATACACTTTACAGAATATTTAACGAGACAATGATGAAACGCTCTGTAAGAAAACTGATTTTTTTAACCAACTACCATTCATAACAATTACCACCATAAATGACACATTTACAAATGCTCCCTTTTTTAGAGCCAAATAAAATAACATATTTTCAGTTAAAACCTTACTCTTGGAGAATGCCACTACAGAACTATTTTACACTCTTTTAATCAAAGGAGAAAAAATAAATGTCGCCATGGAAAAGTGCTCAACACAGCACACGGGAGGTGGTGCACAGTAGTGAGTCATGAACATAAAGGTCATTCTTTCATTCGACTTGAGCATCAATCTTTCTTTTTATTTTTCTCCTTCTCGAGTTGCTTCTTAATCTTTTCTGCCTTGAGTTTTGCCATCACACTGGACATTTGGCAAATCCACATCACCTAGATGTGCACAGAAACCATCAAGACATTTAGTGTTTGCGATGGAATTTCCACTTAAATTATTTAAACCTTGAGATATTCATTCACAATGGCAATTTGCATAACAATGCGTGTTACTCCTTACCACAATAATCATCGCATTTAGTAGCAATGGAGTGGAGAAAACAACAGAGATAAACAACCCCTGAGAATCAAAATACTGGTACTTTGCAAATGACCTGGGAGGAAGACACACACACACATCAACCAGTTTATCATGAATACTTAATTTGGTATAATATGCAATGCAAGTATTAGTGGCAGTGTCGACTATCGTATTTTACTCTCGCAGGGCTCATGCACACTTTGGTTGAACTGCTATATGATCAATAAACAATTATATTCAACATTTTCAATGGGGGTATTCATTTTATTCCTGAAATAATATTATACCAGTTGTTTCTTACTCTTCATAATTCATGCATGAGACAGTGTTCAAGTTTTTAAACAGTTAAGCAAAATACACTACTGAAATGGATTCCTTTCATTTGCAATCAGAGTACCTCCACACTATTTGCATCAACAAAGGTTTGGATTTGCATACAAACCTCCAGTTCATTGCTGCTACTTCATTGATGTACTCTGCAGAGTACGTCAACAGCACTGCAACAAATGGACATTGTTACACAATCATTAAAAACAATGCCTTGTGTGTAGTATTCCGACGTCGAACTTGGTTTCTGTAGGCAGCAATCAACACTCCATTCCGTACAAACTAGGCTCCCTATCTCAGCACCGTAAGAAACCAACCAAAACCCTTACACTGCCTGGACAGATGATCACTACAGAGCCCCCACGTGACCTTCACCATATACTCTTTCCCTGAACATAACAAAGACACGATATGATGCTGCACAGGCAAAAGGCGTCCAGTGGTGCATCAGAAGTTTAACAAAAAGGATAGAGAAATGCCTCCTTCGGCACAACACAAGATAGGAGTGTGTCGGAGACCTAGTTTTCCTTACAGCAGCCGTCAACAAGCTATATTATGTAGTGACCAGCCAGTCAGCACCAGACCCGACCAAGGAGGGTCAACAACCAGCAGCTGACAAATGTCACATTAAAACGCATTGAAGGATAAGTCGTCATTCTTCTAAATTAATTACTTATCCATGTGCAGCAGCCGATACACACCTACCAAACCAGCACATGATGTTGGCCTACACAGCCCAGGCTGGGGGACATACCTGCCCTAAAGACAAAAACACAATCATTTATAGAATGTGTGTCATGTGGACACTGTGCACAGTCGTCTTAATACCCCAGGGAGCATAGATACATGGCAGTGCTGGGATACAGAACTGAGTTCGTATGGAATTTGGTGGATGCTGTACAGAAAACATCAGCATACACATTGTGAGATGCGCATGTAAGATGTATGTGTGTGTCTGCATAGCCACAATAAAGTTGGTGCAGTGTCAACTTACATAGCAGAAAAAAATACACGATTTGAGCAGTTTGAAGTTTTCGTGTAAGGTACGTCACCAGAAGACAGAGGCCATGGAAGGCGATCAGACCCCACAGCCATGATTCAGTCCAATCGATCTTTGCAAAAGGAGAGGGAACAAACTATGACCCTGCAGTATATAGCACGCAAGATTATTTGAAATTGTTTACGAACGTCAACGCCGAGCATTGTATGCAGACAGCTTTCGTTTTGAACCTCAAACTCAATTGCAAAAGATGTCTCAATGGGCTCTAATCATGTAAAAAAAACCGTATTAATATAAAATTGTAAAGCCCGACCTGTGGTCAATTCTAATAAAATCCCAATAGCACTGTAAGCTGAAATTACAATTATGTACATCGCAAACGCAATTCATAACGAATTAAGGGCTATAATTGATCCAAGGTTTGGTACCGGCACAATACATGACTGTTCCTTTCCACCACTTCCATATAACGATATACATTTGGTCAACATTAACAAGACACTTTAAAGGAGGCATTCTGCCCACGATGACATGGATCACAAACATTGGCACCAATCTGACTGGAAACTATTTTTCGACCAGGCCTCTATGCTGTCGACTCCCCTAACCCTGTTCCAAGTCCTGGCTCAAAACCTTTTGATTCTACGCGCTTTTATTTAACTCACTGTTGTTGTTTATGTTGTCGTATCCTCAAATCTTATAACTCAATTTTAACCCACTTCCCAATGTGGTATCGACTGAAAACTTGGTATACTTATGTCATACTGATCGCAATACTACATTCTATCATGAAAAATATTTTTAAACATTCAGTTTTATATGTTATGTTTCGGCTTGGGTCTAATTGTCCACGCTCAACTAACGTTGGCTGTAAATCACCACGGTTGCTTACGTTATGGGCAAGCCTCGGGGCCACTTCCTGGAGTTCTGCCATTACGAGTACGGTACATTTCATTAAAGCGTGTCTAAAAAAAGTATTTTTAAATATTAATTATTTAAACCTAAGCTTGCACGCTCTATAACAAATAGATCCCGTTTGGTACGTCCCGAGATTCAGTCGCGTCTATGCGCTATATACACACTATATTATGAAGCGTTAAGAACATCCGAGAAAATGCATATGCAGGTGCTTTTAAGTACAGTATAAACACAATACCTTATACAGCACGTGTTAGGAGGGGCATCAAACAGACAACAATCCTGTATTAAACATGCTGGCCAACAGCATCACACCACCACACACACACAATTACAAATCGTAATTGTTGCGATTTGTATCAACACGACCTTGGAAGCTAGATCCTGGATCGTGTTCGGGTGGGCGAATCCGCTGATCATAAACATCATTGGAAACCTAATTTGGCAGTAAAAAATTATAATTGTTTTTTTACCCTTTTATCTGGCAACAAAACGGACACCTTTTTTACCAGATGGTCCAACACCATGTGAGACTAGGCTCTAAGAAAAGCTGTCTCGGGTGTGGATCAATCAACTTCAAGGACAGTGCATACATCAGTTGTGTTTTTTGTTTGCATTATGACTGCAGGTATTGTGGTCTATGCAAACATGACTCATTGTAAAAAAAGGTGTCAGTTTTGTTGCCAGATAAAAGGGTAAAAAACCAATTATCATCATAAACATATTCGTTTGGGTCTTTCGGTAAAGTCACGTAGATAGGTTCAAAGAAATAACCCAAAACTACGTTTCGATCGCAACACAAGCGGTCGTAGTTTTTTTGTTTATTGGAACCAAGGCCGTAGCCATGGAGTCAACATTGGGGGGGACCAAATCTATTTTATACCAATATATTGGGGGGACATTGAGCATATTTGAATTACGGCCTTGCTTGGAACCTATCTACGTGACTTTACCGAAAGACCCAAACAATATGAATTCCTGCAGTCACGAAAGCTTTCAGTCAAAATGATAAAAATAGTTTAATGTTTGACAGATGCGTTGGGTGGCACACGTCATTTGTAATATGCATAAAACAGGTGGAACAGGCTTGCCGAGGGACGCCGTGGGCAAGGTACAGGAAACATCACCGTATGTTCTGTATTTTATCAACACCACAACTTCACAGCCCCCGCACCACGCATTGACCCGCGTGGTGAAGTATGGTGAAAACGAACACACGTGGCACGCGCGTTGGGAGAGCCCCTGACCGGGCGGTGACAGCTTCTCTGCGATTACACGAATCACAACATCAACATCGCCAAGAGTGGACGCGCAGCGCTCGCAACAGACTCATAAGTCTCCATATTCTTAGGTTTTGTCGGTAAAGTCACGTAGGTAAAAAAGATAAATACAGTAAATTTAGCTGTGACGGTCCCACCTGAAGACGGAGACTTGTGTTGCCTCCGAAACGTCGTGATTTAATTGATTTATTATTATATTTCTATTATCATTTTTTATTTCTATTTTTTTTACCTACGTGACTTTACCGAAATAAAACCCAAGAGTATGAATCCTTGCAGTCACGAAAGCTTCAAATCTAGACTCAGTAAGCCTCCTAGGGGCCTGGTGTGTGAGGCCTAACACACGACACAAGTGAAACCACCCCAGCTCTCAGCCAGGCCCCCCACCAACAAAAGGGATTAGGCCCCCCACCAACAGGGAGCTGTGACCCCCCGAGGGACCCCCACCGAGTAGAGGAAGCTCCACAGCCCCGTAATTTGGACGCCGCTGATCGCATCGAAGGGCCCGGCCGAGAGGTTCATGTCGCTTTGGCGAGCAGGCACGGAATCGATTCCTCGATTTTGAGACCAACGCGAATCGCTCATTCGATTCGTTCGTTAAGACTTTATTGTGGGAATCGATTACAGGTAATTTTTAAAGAAGCGTGTAAGGAATCGATTCTCGTGTCGCTCTGTGGTGATGCCCGATGCCGTGGGGAGATGAACGCTTTGACCCATTTTGGCTCACATCGCTTAACTCAAATTAACAATTTGTATTTCATTTTACCAGATAAGGAGGCCCAACTGAACGTTATTTTTTTTCAGAAGCGACCTGTCTATCATACAACGATAGCTTATCGTCAAGTGGAAATGCAGAACAAGCCAGACGCTCCAAACGCGTGATGTTGATTCTAAATGTGGAAGGGAAAAACCGGAGGACCCAGAGAGAGAGACACGCAAAGTCCAAATATACAGCAGCAGCAGCAGGCATCATGATCGGGGTGGAACCCACGACCTCCTGTACACCAGCGAAGTTGTTAACATCTCATAGCCACCGTGATGATGATGAGAGACACGCAAAGTCCAAATATACAGCAGCAGCAGCAGCAGGCATCATGATCGGGGTGGAACCCACGACCTCCTGTACACCAGCGAAGTTGTTAACATCTCATAGCCACCGTGATGATGATGAGAGACACGCAAAGTCCAAATATACAGCAGCAGCAGCAGCAGGCATCATGATCGGGGTGGAACCCACGACCTCCTGTACACCAGCGAAGTTGTTAACATCTCATAGCCACCGTGATGATGATGAGAGACACGCATAGTTCATATATACAGCAGCAGCAGCAGGCTTCAGGGTCGGGGTGGAACCCACGACCTCCTGTACACCAGCGAAGTTGTTAACATCTCATAGCCACCGTGATGATGATGAGAGACACGCAAAGTCCAAATATACAGCAGCAGCAGCAGCAGGCATCATGATCGGGGTGGAACCCACGACCTCCTGTACACCAGCGAAGTTGTTAACATCTCATAGCCACCGTGATGATGATGAGAGACACGCATAGTTCATATATACAGCAGCAGCAGCAGGCTTCAGGGTCGGGATGGAACCCACGACCTCCTGTACACCAGGCGAGGTTGCTAACATCTCCTAGCCACCATGATGATGATGAGAGAGACACGCAAAGTCCAAATACACAGCAGCAGGCGTCAGGGTCGGGATGGAACCCACGACCTCCTTGTACACCGGGCGAGGTTGCTAACAACGAGGCCACAGTAGCGCCCCGTGTGTCGTACACCCTCCTCTACCCGACACACCGCTCTGTTGGGCTCCAGCACGCACGTGGTGCTTGAGTAGTGAAACATTTGCGCGTATGGGACCGTCCATAAATGACGTCACGCGATTTTTGACGATTTTTGCCCCCCCCCCTCGTCACACGGCGTCACAAAAAGTTAGACCCCCCTCAAATATGACGTCACAAAACTCTGCCCCCCCCCCCCAAAAAAAAAACATGCTTCAAATCGCTTTAAACTATTGTCATTGTAGTGCGTATTTAATGTGGCGCTGCACTCTGATGTTGTAGGAGTGTTGTTATAATAATTATATATTTATTTAAAGTTGCTCATTTTGATGTGACGTCACATTCCCCCCCCCCTCGTCACACATCGTCACAAATGTCTGACCCCCCCCCCCTATGTGCGTGACGTCATTTATGGACGGCCCCTATGTTCACGTGGATGCTTTATTAATTGGCTGTGACGGGTGGAGAAGGGTGGACGACACACTTTCTACCTACGCGATGTGAATACAACATGAATTAGGAATCGATTAGAAGCTGTAAGCGACTACTTTTTGTGTGTCTGTAGTACAGCACTTCTATGTTCCGGATATCCCAGCTGTAAGCGATTCGCTCCCGGCTGATTAAATCGACAAATCCACCAATCGTGGCAACTCTGTTCTCATCGATGAATCGCCACGTGCCGGAACTCGATGACCTACAAAGATCCCCCGTGTAACCTTCCCATACTTTTGGGGCAAGTGCTGTTCGCGAGCACCTGTGAAGGTCGTCACAGCACACGTGGGTGTCTGTGTCCAGCACCACGCCCAAACTACACACAGGCACCATCATGCTCAGCCATGGTCAATCCACTGCTGGATGAATGCCTCCCCAACCAAATCCACTCAACACCCGAAACACGAAGTGATTTCGTCGCTCCATCTTCCTCGTTTGCCGATTCCTCGCGAACGCGTTCCATTCCCTTTGGGATGTACAGGGTGGTCCAGATGTCTTGTGACCCCCATTTCATTCTCTAAAACTTTTTTTTAAAAGTAAAGTTTATTTAAAAAAACCAACATTAATATGCAAAGGACATGCAAATGTTAAGAGGTCAATTACTTGGTTGTCATGAGACATCTGGACCATCAAAATTCCAACTGCGATTAATTACCAAAACTTCGGGGTCTATTCTTTGTTTGCATTTGATGGCAGCAACGAGTTCATGGGCTGAACGCTAAAGTCGAGGTCTGCTTTCCACGACGAGAGGAGAGTTCGTGGAGTTTAGCCGTTCACCCTACGCTTAAGGAACGCAGACTATAGTTTACTACTGTATGATCAATATTGTGGGATGTGTGGCCGCAGTCGCACTGCAGTGGCTTGCCTTTACATTTGCATTCACGAAGGCGAAGTGCGCATTGTATCTATGTTGAACTTCTTTCGCACCGTACGTAGACAACCATGCCAATCGGAGGTGCTGGCCTCTTGATGTTCTGATGCGGTTGATGGTTAAAACCAGCGTCCTCGAGGAGGAGGACGAATACCAAAGGCAGGAGGGGCGATGTCTGGATCTCGGTTGAGGTCGTTATTCTGGAACTGAGCTCATAGCATCCCAGTATACTCTCTGTTTTTCTGCACCTGCAACAGCGTACTAACGATGACTTGAACCGACAGGGGGCAGTCTTACAGCGGGAATGGAAGCGAACAGACACCCACACCTAAAAAGAAACGCTCCTGTACCAATGGTAACCTGCATCATTTTCTGGGTTCGCGGACCAGATGGTGTCATGAATCCCTCGCGATTGACACCAAGACATGCAATAACAACAGAGCAATAGGTTCCAATGAATGTTCTGCATCATATATCTCAGCCAACGAGTCAGCGTTGTTCTCTGAGAAGACATCAGCCTCCGTGCGTCAACATTTAGGCAATGTTCCGTCACTGCAGTGTGTCTAAATTAAGAATGACAGCATTATACAGCACAGACGCTGCTGCATACTTTAAAATATGTTTTCAACCACACCGTATAGACCACGTGCTCATGCAGACGCCTCCGTGAGAAGACAGTGATTAATCGGTGTTCTCGCCAGCGCGTGTAACCTCACAGCACGAAGCGATCGCTCCGTGCTACTGCTGCTCATTGCCGTTCAATATCTCCCTCGCCTGAGCAACACGAACCAAGGAATGACCCCCTCGCACTGCACTTTCATCCAGCCCCCCACCCCCCCGTCCACAACAGCGCGCCCAATTAGTCCCACGGACGAGATCACACATTGGTAGCACCTATAGGGGGGGGGGGCATCGTGTTCGCAGTGGGGCTCGTGGTATTGGAGAGTTTCGCGGTTTCGAAGACGCGGCAGCCCCGGTGAACGCTAATTAAAAAATATCCATCGACTATAAAATACGCGTTTTCTTCGCAGCGGACGTGAAAGAGACCGTGAAGGAATTTGAAAGAGAGAAGACTGTTGTGTGCCCTCGTCATGGTCAGAATTCGCCACATTTGAAAAATTACTCAAATATTACTTGGTTGGGGGAAAAAACAAACGACATAGCGACGTCTCTCGCGTGTCCCGACTGAACATTGTTCCCATTTGCACGCTGGTTTCGTGTTCGTCTTGCGTCGTGCGGAGACAGTGGCCACTTGGAGGCCTTGGGATGGTGGAGACGAAATGCGACGTAAGGCGCTTTGAGACGCCGATGAATTACGTGCCCTCCAAATGAAAATTATTATCCTGAACGCTTTCGTGTAGCCCAATAAAAGATAATTATATTATGAACGTACCATATGAAGAGTTACGCTTGCCCAGCCTATGCAGAATATAAAAAAAACACTGCAAAGTGTTGCATCCCCAGGTGGTGAACACACGTGGAGTATCCCCCCATCTCCCCGTGTCCCGGGACTAATTGTGCTTACACAATTTTAAAACCTGGCTCTCTCAGCAACACAGACGCATCAGTTGACCTTTAATTTCCAAGCCAATCATTTCTCGACAGCATTTAGTCAGTCATATCCAAACGTCTCCTCCAATGCCAAAGCAACAAGTGTACATGCGTGTCGATGTTACATCTCGAAGATAATTGTTCAGCTATCTTCACCGAGTGTGAGAAATTATTTATCACACGCAAATAGTTACATAACTGGTGTTTCAAATCGGTGAATAAACTCCAGCACTTGTTGGGTGTAGTGGTGGCGCAGTGGTGAGTGCACTGTGCTATGAATCTGAGGACTCGAGACCAACCCCCACACTGACCAGTGTGGTGAAGTATGGTCAAACAATCCCCACACACCTACACAGCTCCGGGGGAGGCCTTCACTCAGCAGGGTATCGGTTAAAGGATGTGAGTAATTAAATACTTCTAGATTTGAAGCTTTCGTGACTGCAAGGATTCATACTCTTAGGTTTTTTTCGGTAAAGTCACGTAGGTAAAACATAAAAAAGAAATTAAAAATAATATAAACAATAATATAATATTTTATTTATATTATTATTTCTATTATTAATATTTATTATTTATTTTTACCTACGTGACTTTACCGAAAAAACCTAAGAGTAATGAAATTCTGTTTATGCAGCGTGGTAATTTATTTTCCAACACAATGATCTATGGGGATACCACGCGTGGTCATCATCATATGGTGTAGCCGTCATCTAAATACTGTATGCGAAATAAATGAACATGATTGCCACGTAAATACAATTCCCGATCCCATTCACTGCCTTGTGCTTTGCTTGCTCACTCGGCAGCCGTCCAATTAATGTTTTGTTAAAAGATAAAGGTGCAGTCCTGCAATTGTTTGCTCATACCACTGCTGGCAGTAGG